ATCCAACCATTTTCCAAGAACAAAAAAAAAAAAAAAAAGAGAGAAGGATTACAACAAAATGCCTCAATTTTATTCTTTAAATCCAAGAAAAAACAATCCTACACGACGAGGAGCTTTGTTCGCATACTCGTGTCAAGATACACCCGCCTTGATGTAGCTTGGAGGAGCTCCATTCAAACGAACTTGTATGCAAATAAAGTTTTCTCAAAGAACACCTTTTTTTGTGCTCAACAATCTCAAGTATAAACCTTTGCCGCCAAATTACCAAAAGAATCGAATTATATTATCGGTCATATACTACTTCAATCATATCGACCTGTATTCTTGATGAGTTTATGCTTGGATTCTCGAAGATGGTCCAACAGTAGTTTCCATTCGGGAGTACCAATCACCGATTCTCGTGTGTTCTACCATGTCTCTACCAGACTTGAGGTAGCGTATGGGTCTTAAAACACCAAAAACTGCAAGGTCAGCTAAGTTAGGCTTGGTTCCACCTGGTGAAATAAAAAACAAAAAAAAAAAAATGGATTATACATATCGACAAAAAGTTTCTAATATATATCGAATGATATAAATAAAAGTACATGTCCACCTAGGAAATCTCGACCGTTGAGTGCTTCCACCCAAGTCTCAGCAGCTTCGTATAATGCAGCCCGTTCGTCTGTGATGTTATACTTTTTCTTCAATTTCTTGGAGACGAAATACATTGCAGCTGCCCCAGCGTATTTGGCTGTTATTTTCTCGGTAAAGCTGAAGTTGCCTGTGAACAAAAAACCAGAGTTGACTATATGGTTTTCCTCAACAATGCAGAAAATCATTTTGCCTTACTCACTTCGCTAAAACATTTCATCAACTGGATGGATAAATAATGAACAAAAAATCAACTGTGGCAATTCTTTGATTAGAACATAATTTAGGAAAAGGGTCGTTATCAAGGATCCAGTGAGGAATTGTATACCAAAGAATAAAATTCATGTTCATTTTTTACAACATTTAAAAGAATTATTTCTTAAAATTTATTTATTTTTTATTAAAAAAATTCAGTTCTGGATTAGGTTTAGGAACTTTTTTTTTTCTGATAATTAGGTCTAGGAACTTGGTTCCAGTGGTCCCGATTCAGGTTCCGTCCTATTTTGGAGAACGCGGAACAAGCGATTCCGAACAGTGGCCAGGTCCAAATTCAAAAGAGATGCCATCGACTATGGTCCAAATTCAACAAATTTTTCCTAAAGTTCGGGAGCAATTGTGCATTATAATTAATGAATTACTCCTTTTTTTATCCTTTATAAAAGAGTTGCCACTAACCAGAATTCAGATATTTTCCAATGGAAACCAACGACTAATTTTTGACACAACTAAAACAAGCAAGCACTACATAATAAGAGAGATGCAGAGATCATGCATGGCATGAACTGTCAATTATGTTTTGTTACATTGACACCTAAAATACTAGCCAGGGAGCTTGGGACAAAATATCCCAGTTCCTAAAATTTCAGCAAAAATATTGGACTACAAAACAATCTCCTGTTTCACCTTGGAACGGGAAATGACTCGAGTAATTAAAGAATAAATATTCATTTAGTGTCATATCACTAAAATTCAATCACCAGAATTGTACCAAAAATCAGGATGGTTCGGTTCGGAGATTTTTATTTTTCTGTTTGGTTCAGAATTCGGGATTATCGGAATGGTTCATATCAGTACGGTTCAATTCGGAGCTACAGAGATTTCAAATTATTTTCCAAAAAAATAAAAAAAAAAAAATTGAATGACTAGTTATATTTAAGATTTTATATGTTTTTATTAAATCCAACATTCATAAATATTTAACCACATTAAAGAGTTTTCTTAAATTATTTTCAAAAATAGAAATAACTCAAAATCGTTGTTAAGACTAGATTTTTGCAATTAATGATGGAAATTTTAAATCCAAAAAAAATATTATATAATTTTAAAAAAAAAATCTCTAATTTTTAAGCCAATTTGAGTATAAGATGGAATAAGACTAAGAAAAGCATCAACAAATGTAATATAATTTTTTTTTTAAAGATTACTTTTAGGCCAATTATTATTAAGTATAAATCCAAGTGAAGTATAAATCCAAGTGAAGTTCAAGTATTATTATTATATGTTATTAAGTATTTTAAAAATACTCATTGAAATTGCGAAAGTTTCATCTCATATAGCTGCAAAATCTCTCCCGCTCAATTTCACTCCTAGGCTATCTGAGAAATGGAAGGATTAAAGTTGACACAAATTTATGCACAAGGCGTTATTCGGTTTGGTACGGTTCGGTCCTCGATACGATATTTGTGAAATCTCCAGAAGCGTACCAATTATTTTTTTCGGCTTGGAGAAAGTCAAATGATCAATGGTTATTTTTCGGTTCGGAGTAATTTCGGTTTTCAAAATGGTTCGGAATGCTCCGAGTCCCATCCCTAATTACAAGTGTTCATGAGATAAAAGTGCAACCATAAAAATGTAATTGCCATGTTAAAGTAATGCACAAAAAAGGTGCATAAGATAGTACATTGGTCTTACCATGACTAGTTATGTAATCGAATGACTCAAGGGCTTCTGAAGAATTTCGATATATATTAGGTGATAACAGGTGAACCAAGTGATTGTCAACCCAGCTGCAATATTTGAGTAACCGGTCATCAGAGGACATTGCATATTGCCAAATGGTCATAGCAAAGATGATATCCATCAATTGAAAAGAGAAGATGTATAATGTGTAACATGAAAAAGTGTGCTTAAGACAGAGTCAATAACAAGTATAAGTTCAATGACGCCAGATAATCTATACCTCCTCCACGTTTTCTCTTCGCCATCAGAATCAATAGCCTCATCTTGATGAATCTTTTTTGACAACCTATTAATTATATCTACATAAAGAGAGTAACTCTAATAAAAACACATGCCATAATTAACTACAAAATATTAAGGTTTCTATAATAACTCATTTGGTTTATTGCCAAACTCTGAATAATAACCATTAACAGTTAATACCAGATGAATCAACCAGCTGCTCGCCATCAACCATCAATATTGGCACTTTTTTATAATCAGACCACTTAATTTCATTTTTGCTGATCGGGTTGACCTCCACAACCTTGTATGCAATATCATAGTAGTCCAGAAATGCTAGAAAAAGAAAACCCATAAGTACAAGGTAGAGCTACAAATATTTTTGGCAATACAATTTACATATCAAAGCAATAAGTAATGATTCTATACATAAGTGTCTTAGAAAAACAAATAGTAGCTGGGCTACTCTCTCCATCTACTGAGGCTGCAATGTACTAAAACACATGTCCAAGATTGTGAATTTACAAAATTGCATCCTTAATCTGCAACCTTATGAAGTAGGCATATCTGATCTTTGTTTGTGTGATAAAATCTTTCTTCTGACAATTCCTTAGGTTAGTTTACAGTTGCTAGCAGAGACTTCAATTCTTGATACTGTGCCAGATGGTCGGGCATATTTTTACGTAACAAGAACTTATCTAAAGAACTTCTACAGCGTTTTGGATTGTATTATGTATAACAACTAAATGCATACTCTAAATCTTATAAAAAATCATGTACAACTAGTATTGGACCGAGCTGGGGGTTGAGCTTGAGCTGGAGCCAAATTTATCAGATGCTATTATAACTTGGTGAGAGCAACACTTCCTGCTTTCACTCTTAAGCCTTTTTTATTTTTTCTTTTGCATGAAATGAATAAGTTTCACTGAACTTTCACTTTTTCTGAATTGAATATCAATGTCAACGATAGCATTTCCCAAAGTTCTATCTATCAGAAACCCAAATGATCCACTTTGAATATTAACAGAGTTCAATAGCAGCAATTATGATTCCATTAATCAAATTCTGGCTACCAAAAAATAAATGCTCGACTAAAACATAAATCGAAAATACCGATTCAGAACATAGATGATTCTACTAACATTCTACCCAATGAAACAATCAGAGCTCTTCTTGTACTGCATAGCCACTGGCCAACAATTGGAGACTTATAAATGACAACGCTACCCATTTCAAAATCGAACTCCAAATCACCGAGAACACACGCTATACTCCCAAATACTTATCAAAACATGTACCTTTGACCTTGTTACAGAAAGGGCAAGCTTCATACTGATAGAGAACCACCTCGTCCGGCCGGAATTTCAACTGGACGGACTCCTTGGCCTCAACCTCCCCGACGAGTGCGGAAGCGGCTACCGAGAACAGCACCGTACCGGCAGCGGCAATCCTTTTGCCGGACAACAACCAATAAGATCTGGCGCCTCTGTTGGAAGCGGCGGTGCCGAAAGCAGCCGCCTGGAAGATGCGGCCGCGGCCGCGGCCTACGGGATTTGCGGTGAGTGAAGGAGCGGCGGCCACGCCCTCCACGGCGCGGCGTACGGCGGCGAGACAGCTGACTCTCCTCATTATAGAGCGATCCCTAAAAGAGAGAAGTATGGAACTTGTGAATCTGGGGAGCTCAAATGTTACCGAGTCGACAGTCGGTTAGCTTTCGGTTAATTGGAAGGTTTTAGAGTTGTGGGTACGATGGCGGTAATCTGGGCCGTTGATTTGCGATCTCAGTGTGAATATGATATCGGATTCGGAGCTGATTGGAACCAATTCATCATTTTCGGTTTGAAAAGGTAAATGAATCAACAACATTTTGTACTTTTAATTTGTTTGAGAAATATAGGAAAATTTAGGGGTTTATTCAATTTAAACTTTTGGAGATTTTTAGTTCGGGCAATTTAAATTTTTTCAGACTTTTAAGGAATTTTTATAAATCTCAAGATAAGAGTCATGCAAGGAGTTGAGATGAGATATTTAAAGACTCAGATTCACCGTTACGTCTATTTTAGACTAAAGTAGAGACCAAATCTCTTTGCATTGAAATGAATATGGTTACTTTTATTTTGTTATATCCATGTAACTCAAAACATATGTCTATTAACATGTCGTGTAAGAAAAATTAGACCAAAGTTAGTTGATTTATTTTCGAAAACGATAGAATTTATATTAATAAACACAAGTATATACATACTAGAAAAAAACCAGGTACAAGTGAAGCAATCATCTACTAAGCTTAATTACAAGTATATCCTTATGTTTGTTGTTTACTTCAGGTTTTCATGATGACTTTTTTACAGTGTTTTCCAGAAAGGAGGAGCACTAAGAGAATTACAAGTAGTTGTATTGTTACTTGAGGAACAATTACACAAGGACATAGACAATGAATAGAAAGGACTCAAAGGAGAAGAAAAGAGAAGGAACAGAAGAAAAACACAAGAGACAATAACCTCAGCAACAAAATCTACTTAGAAACAAACAAGCTGCGCTACACGAGCATCGCCTCAAACATGTCACGGTCCACACGCTTAAACTTGCCGTGAAATTCTCCAATTCAACAAATTACATCAAAATTAGTGTACGATTGGGCCTACATTCGACTGAGTTCAAACACATTTTTTGATGCTAATGTTATTTTCTCTAGATTCATAATCCCGATAAACGATTCCATTTTTACCTATTTTTACAAGATGGAACAGCCTTTGTTCCCTTTCTTCTTCTTCTTCTTTTGCTTTGGCGGTTGCAATACTATCTTTATAGCCGCATCAAACACCGCCTTCACATTCTGCATCCAAGTAAACGAAAAAAGATTGCATTTTTTTTTTGTAAAAAAAAAATAAAAATAAAAAAAATTAATAGTACATAGATTGTAAGTTGTAAGTTGTAGCAAAGTAAACGCATACCTGTTGAGTTTTTGAACTGCACTCGATGTACACAGGGGCACCAATCAGTTTCCTTAGTTCCTCTCCCTACACAAGGGCAATATACAAAAGCTCATTTTATATGATAGAACGGTCAAATAAAAATCGAGAGGGTGTTTTACCTGGGCTGTGGTAATTGGAACTGCTCCAGGATGATCAATAAAGAATTGCTTATCATCTCTAAGATCTGTGTATCATANTATAAACAAGAAATTGAAGTTGGGGTAAGTCAATCTTTAAGCCAATGCAAATTAATCAATGTGCTTTAAGATAATATTTATTTTCTTACTTTTTTCTTTAAGAGATGATTATTCAAGTGCTAGCAAAAAGTACTCATTTTGAGGGGAAGTAATTCGTTTTGTCAAAGGAAAAAGTACTCGAGATTATGAAGTCAAGAATAGATGAAGATATGAAGTCAAAAGTTCTATAAGTTGAAAGAGGGTGTTTTGTATGTAAGTTGCAGGCATGTTTCTATTTTGTGTTTACAAGTCAAAACTAGAAATCCAAAGCATCATGCCTGCAGACTTACTTCCAAAGCAAAAGTTGACAATCGAAAACAATAAAGCAAATCAAGGAGCAAAAATTTGTAACAGCAAATCAACATTTATTCAGAAATAAAAAAGAACTGCCAACTGATACAAGAGAGAGTGAGCAAATGATGGTGTAGCAACATCACAAGAAAAAAAAAAGGGGACAGAGAAATGAAAAGAAAAAAAAAATCTTACCAAGCTTTGTCCCAACAAGAATTATAGGAACACCTGGAGCATAATGCCTTAATTCTGGAATCCACTGAACAAAACCGAAAAAAATCAGACAAGTAGTTCAGCAATAATAAACTACTGGAATACAAAAAATGGATGTCAAATAATAAATTTGGTGGGAACATTTATTTAGCCATCTAAAAAGCTGTAACCTTTTTTGCGATGTTTTCGTAGCTGGCCTTGCTAATGAGTGAGAAAGCAAGAAGGAAAACATCCGCTCCACGATAGCTCAAGGGCCTTAGTCTATTGTAATCCTCTTGACCTGAGAATCCAGAAGTAACCTCAAATTGATAAAGAATTAAAGCCCATCTCAAAATCTCCCACAAAACACACACACACACACAAAAAAGGAAAATGAAAATGAAAATGTAACAAAAGAGCTACCGGCAGTATCCCACAGCCCCAAATTGACAGTGCTACCATCGACAACTACATTTGCACTGAAATTGTCGAAAACGGTTGGAACATAATCCTGCAAGTGTATAAGGGTAAACTAATGCCAAGAGAATAGATAAATGTGCAACAAAACAATAAAATCAAGGCTAAATGGGTAAGAGATTGGTCAAAACAATAAAACAAGAATACAGACATCCAAACAAGAGATTGAATTCATAGAAGAATTATATGCATAAAATTTTAAGAATGTTGTGTTTGTTAGAGTTGTGGATCTATAGAAACAAAACTCTACCAGCCAAACAGGAGCTCTTGAAGGGAAAATTCATATTTAAATCACATCACACAAATAGGAAAATGCAAATTTCTTGTAAATGGAAGTGTGAATTTAACTTGTAATTTAAGAAAGGAACTAACTCCACAATCCACATATTTAACAGCCTAAAATTAAATCAAACTGCACTTCTAATATTTGGATAGACACATCTATAATGAACAGGATAAGTCCACAAAACCAAAGCATTTTTTCCTAATCTAAAGCAAGACAAGAAAAGGGGAAAAACAAGAGAACTATACCATAAGACCATCACTACTAAAAATCAAGCTAGGAACGGTTGAGAGAAAATGCAACAACTTGAAAATAAAAATAAATGAACTCAACTAATCAAGAACTGGGACAAAAAGACAAGAGTCTTGAAGAAAATTGCCAAACAGAACAATCAGGGAACTACTGAATAAACAAAAAACTAACAATTATTAAAAGAGAAATAAATAAAACTGACCGTAGGAAATGTGTTGCTTGTGTAAGAAATCAACATGCAAGTTTTCCCAACAGCTCCATCACCCACAGTCACGCACTTTATGAACCTCGTGGCGCTCATTTTCCAGAAAAAATTACCTCTACTCGCTTCAAGTTCAAATTCAAAAACCACAAAAAAGAAAAAAAGAAAAGATAGGTTCTTTAAAAATCAAGATTCAAGAAACTAATAAAACCCCATCTCAAGAAATTTCAGACCAGACAAAAAATTTGCAATTGAAGTTCATTCTTTTCCACCTGAGGTTACTGAATTTGAGACAGAAGGGCAATGCCTGTACTTTGCTGGCCAAAAAGATAGAATTTTTATGACAGCCCTTTTAGGCTTTTCCAAACTCTCTTAAATCTTTTTTCTTGGGCTGGGGTGTGAGTACAGCTTTGGTTGAAAATCTGTTTAACAAATTTGACTGCGCAATTTTTATTTTTATTTTTTTCCTTTCGCCCCACGCTAAAAATAGTCGATCCAAACTTGGGTTTAGTAAAGTTGATCGATTTGAATTCAAAATAAAATTGAAATAATGAACTTTGGCTGAACTTATATTCAAAGCGTGGCGTGATGCGAAGAGGTTGCTCGAACAAAATGATTGGTTTTCACTTTTCAGGATTTTGGTCAACGCGCGCAGTAAAAGATACGGGTAATGGTAAGTAATAGCCACAAGGTTTATTGCTACCTCAAAAAAGTAGCAAACGAGTTAGTCTAATGTTCAAATTTTTTTATTTTGTCTATGTACTTAATTTCTAGATGTTTTAGGATTTGTGACATTTATATATGCTTCTAAGACATTATTTTGAGTTTATTCGAAATTTTATATTTAAATTTATAATACATTATTCTTTCATTATAAGTACGTTTATTTTCTTTATTTTATCATCACGTGTTACGACAAAATATACAAAAAATTATTAAGAAAACAATTAATTCTTTCATTTCATTTTTCAAATCTATATATATATATATATAATAAGAATTACCATTTATCAAAAATAGTAGCAAAAAAATATGTCATAATTTAATGCAGCCTATATATAGTAAGTTTTATTACTTTTCTTATTTTTTTCTTTAAAAATCATACATCATTAAATGCTACCTTAAATTTCGAGTTTTAGTTCATTATATTATTTAAAAAATCCGGCTAAGATGTATTAAGTGTATATGTTTTTATTTTTATTCTTTAAATTGCATAATCAATCAATTAATCTTAATTTTTTTGAAAATTACTATCTTTATTTTTTATTAATATGCATAAAGTAAAAATAATTAATTCATTTTTAGATATATAATTTATAATCTTAATATACTTCATTTGGTGTAGATTTTTATTATATGAATCATAAAATATTTTTATTTCATAAAATTAAATATATTTAAAGAAAATAAGAAAATTTCTTCGGATCAATCGGGTGATTGAATTAGGGTACTGCCCATGTTGATTGAATTACTTTTAGGTGATATTTAAAATAGTCAAAAAACTTGACACAACTTGGTTGGTCCAGGTAACTAAGTTATGTATCAGTTCGACCACACCAAATCGATTATTGAACCTAAATATAAATTTTATATTGAAAATATGTTATTACGTGAATGTGATGTAGTCCAAATTTTAAATAATCATATTAACAATACTTTATGACAACATGTTTAATGATTTAAGAATATTTATACATCATTTTATTAATATTTATGTGAATTAAATAATATTTTATTATAATATTTATTAATGTACAGTAAATATAAGGTTTTCAGAACTGGACCGTCATCGAAACGATCAAGCTATTTTATCAAATCATTTATGGTTTGTTCAGATTTTAATTTATAAACATTTTAATTGTGTTACTAAGATATCTAAACAATTTATAATTTATATATATATATATATATATTACTTTTGTAATAAATTTAAATAAAATGTGTTACTAAGATATCTAAACAATTTATAAATTCAAATATTTAAACTAACTGATAAATAATTTATAAATCTCTATTTTATTTAAATATGTAATTTTATTTAAAATAATTTTAAATATAACAAAATTTATTTAGAAAATCGTGTTGATCCTACCAGTCCAACCGACTGGTGTTGACGAATTCAAGAGTAAATATTCTATTCAAGCAAACTAGACTGGTTATAAATCGATTCTTGGTCCATCCGGTCGGACTATGTCCAAACCAGTTTAATTTAAAAACAATGGATAAATTATGATTAATGTTATTTATATATTAAATTTATAATACAATCGTATTATTGTTTTCTCGTGCATCGCACGGGCCATACACTAGTAGTGAAGCAAACAATAGAGATAACTTGAATACTTTTTACGTAGTTTTATTATTAGCTATGATGATCACATTCAATATTAATGATGCTAAAAAATAAATTTCCAGCAATATTGATGTGCAAAAGAGATAATATTTGACAATAAACAGTACGCGTACATGAATAGCTAGTGAAATTTAATGTGATGTTAAAGTAAAAAATCCTATGTAGCTCACATATAATAAGCCTAATCACTTCATCAATGCAATGTACCTTCACCTACTCTAAGGCTACATATGTTTGAATTCTAGTTTATAAAAACAATTCAGTGTGGTGTATATTTATCAACTTGAACTCTATACGTTGAACTCCAATATCTACGATAAATTCAATATTAAATCCAGACAACATTAAATAATTGAACTTTTTAACTCGATACGAGTAAAAATTTAATGAGAAGACATCCTAAAATCTTAACAACAAATTAATGAGATAATTTACCGATTGACAAGCCGACCCTCTATGCTTTTTCTTAACAAAAATGCATATTGATTTGATGAAATATAATATTTTTGTGTATGTTATTTTTTAAATTATACTTTTTTATTTATTTGTTTGTTTATATATGTGTGTAGGTTATAGAACAAAAATAAAATGGAATGACATATCAAGAGGCACCTAACTCTAGCAACTGATGATGCAACCACATGGAGTGAAGGTGAAATCCAGAGGGCCATGTGCATTGGGTGACCAACCTCATACCTACTATTATTTCATTTTCCTATCTTTCCTATCTTTATTCCAATTTGCAATTTGTACCCATTATATGATTTTAATGAGATTCCTTTGCCGGGCCCTTATAAGACAGCCTAACCTTATTTGTTAATGGCATCTACTCATAGTCCTTCTAAGATATGGTACACCACTAAGTGGTCCTTTTTATCTCTTAGCATTAGCATTAGCATTAGCATAATTTGGGACGAAAAAGAGAGAAAGGAAAGTTTATTATTCTTAAAAAAATGCACAATTAAATTGATGTTTGTGATATCACAAAAACCAATGTCCATCTATTAACTAATGGTTATGATTCATCATAGATTTTGAACAAAAATATAAAATTATAATGTAAAAAGACAGTCTTATTCTCGTACTCACAATAGACACGAATTAATATATTCACCAGCTGGTATGACAAGAGATTAACGTACCATAAATAGTGCGTATGATATTTAAAGATTGTTAGATCTTAGTACGTGACTAGTGGACACATTTATTAATTGTGCTCACGGTATGTAAATAAGCATTTCCGTGTAAAAATGGCGATTTTTTTAAAGTAGATGATTCGTTATTTTTACATTCATTGTTTGTAATAAAAAAAAAAATTATTGACAATATATATTTGTCTAATAAAATAGTCTGGACTAACACTTATATAGAGTTCCTTCTATATGAATAGGTAAACAGTTCATTTACTAGCAAACTGTGTAATTTGATATTCTCGTCTCATAAAAATGTGTTTACATTAGGACATTGTTCTTAATGATCTTATGTCTAATTAACAAGCATAACATTCAAGTGAATTTAATAGCTATCTCGATATTCATTTCATATTTTAATCCATAAAGTATTGATTTTTATAGAAGTGCCAACATAAATATATAGT